GTGCTTTCTCATATCCTGAGTTTGTCAGTACAGTACTGCACAATCCTCTTAACAAATTGACGAACGTGCTGATTTTTGGTTGTGTGCCATCTGGGACCAAGGTCTTTTACGGAGCAGCCCATATTATTCACATATAATTACGCATACTGCGATCTGCAGTACATCAACAGTAGATCTGAAAGGCTGACAAAACAGGTAGAGGTCACCCCTAGATTCAGTGCAAAAGAAAGCTCGTGGGGTGATCTATTGCAGGATAGTAGTCATTTTAATAAAGTTCAAGCCTTGACACACGTGGTGTGTCAAGCGGTCCCACGCGGTAGTCATTGCTTGACACACCATGTGTGTCAAGCGGTCGTCAATGTGTTAATGAAACAGCAGCTCTTTTGAAACGCTGCAAAAATTCTGACCACTGAGCGGGTCGAACGCCCAACCTTTCGATCTGGAGTCGAACGCGCTACCATTGCGCCAAGCAGTCATAGTCCTTTCTCAATCGTTACTCTTTCATAATTTCTGCTGGTGTTTTCTCATATCCTGAGTTTGTCAGTACTGTGCTGCACAATCCTCTTAATGAAACAGTAGGTCTTTTCAAACGCTGCAAAAATTCTGACCACTGAACGGATCGAACGCCCAACCTTTCGATCTGGAGTCGAACGCGCTACCATTGCGCCAAGCAGTCATAGTCCTTTCTCAATCGTTACTCTTTCATGATTTCTGCTGGTGTTTTCTCATATCCTGAGTTTGTCAGTACTGTACTGCACAATCCTCTTAATGAAACAGTAGGTCTTTTCAAACGCTGCAAAAATTCTGACCACTGAGCGGATCGAACGCCCAACCTTTCGATCTGGAGTCGAACGCGCTACCATTGCGCCAAGCAGTCATAGTCTTTCTGAATCGCTACTCGTTCAAAATTTCTGCTGGTGTTTTCTCATATCCTGAGTTTGTTAGTACTGTACTGCACAATCCTCTTAATGAAACAGTAGGTCTTTTCAAACGCTGCAAAAATTCTGACCACTGAGCGGATCGAACGCCCAACCTTTCGATCTGGAGTCGAACGCGCTACCATTGCGCCAAGCAGTCATAGTCCTTTCTGATTCGCTACTCGTTCAAAATTTCTGCTGGTGTTTTCTCATATACTGAGTTTGTCAGTACTGTACTGCACAATCCTCTTAATGAAACAGTAGGTCTTTTCAAACGCTGCAAAAATTCTGACCACTGAACGGATCGAACGCCCAACCTTTCGATCTGGAGTCGAACGCGCTACCATTACGCCAAGCAGTCATAGTCTTTCTGAATCGCTACTCGTTCAAAATTTCTGCTGGTGTTTTCTCATATCCTGAGTTTGTTAGTACTGTACTGCACAATCCTCTTAATGAAACAGTAGGTCTTTTCAAACGCTGCAAAAATTCTGACCACTGAGCGGATCGAACGCCCAACCTTTCGATCTGGAGTCGAACGCGCTACCATTGCGCTAAGCAGTCATAGTCTTTCTGAATCGCTACTCGTTCAAAATTTCTGCTGGTGTTTTCTCATATCCTGAGTTTGTTAGTACTGTACTGCACAATCCTCTTAATGAAACAGCAGGTCTTTTGAAACGCTGCAAAAATTCTGACCACTGAGCGGATCGAACGCCCAACCTTTCGAACTGGAGTCGAACGCGCTACCATTGCGCCAAGCAGTCATAGTCCTTTCTCAATCGTTACTCTTTCATAATTTCTGCTGGTGTTTTCTCCTGAGTTTGTCAGTACTGTACTGCACAATCCTCTTAATGAAACAGCAGGTCTTTTGAAACGCTGCAAAGATTTTGACCACTGAGCGGATCGAACGCCCAACCTTTCGATCTGGAGTCGAACGCGCTACCATTGCGCCAAGCAGTCATAGTCCTTTCTCACTCGTTACTCTTTCATAATTTCTGCTGGTGTTTTCTCATATCCTGAGTTTGTCAGTACTGTACTGCACAATCCTCTTAATGAAACAGCAGGTCTTTTGAAACGCTGCAAAAATTCTGACCACTGAGCGGATCGAACGCCCAACCTTTCGATCTGGAGTCGAACGCGCTACCATTGCGCCAAGCAGTCATAGTCCTTTCTCAATCGTTACTCTTTCATAATTTCTGCTGGTGTTTTCTCCTGAGTTTGTCAGTACTGTACTGCACAATCCTCTTAATGAAACAGCAGGTCTTTTGAAACGCTGCAAAAATTCTGACCACTGAGCGGATCGAACGCCCAACCTTTCGATCTGGAGTTGAACGCGCTACCATTGCGCCAAGCAGTCATAGTCCTTTCTCACTCGTTACTCTTTCATAATTTCTGCTGGTGTTTTCTCATATCCTGAGTTTGTCAGTACTGTACTGCAGAATCCTCTTAATGAAACAGCAGGTCTTTTGAAACGCTGCAAAAATTCTGACCACTGAGCGGATCGAACGCCCAACCTTTCTATCTGGAGTCGAACGCGTTACCATTGCGCCAAGCAGTCATAGTCCTTTCTGAATCGCTACTCTTTCATAATTTCTGCTGGTGTTTTCTCATATCCTGAGTTTGTTAGTACTGTACTGCACAATCCTCTTAATGAAACAGCAGGTCTTTTGAAACGCTGCAAAAATTCTGACCACTGAGCGGATCGAACGCCCAACCTTTCGAACTGGAGTCGAACGCGCTACCATTGCGCCAAGCAGTCATAGTCCTTTCTCAATCGTTACTCTTTCATAATTTCTGCTGGTGTTTTCTCCTGAGTTTGTCAGTACTGTACTGCACAATCCTCTTAATGAAACAGCAGGTCTTTTGAAACGCTGCAAAAATTCTGACCACTGAGCGGATCGAACGCCCAACCTTTCGATCTGGAGTCGAACGCGCTACCATTGCGCCAAGCAGTCATAGTCCTTTCTGAATCGTTACTCTTTCATAATTTCTGCTGGTGCTTTCTCATATCCTGAGTTTGTCAGTACAGTACTGCACAATCCTCTTAACAAATTGACGAACGTGCTGATTTTTGGTTGTGTGCCATCTGGGACCAAGGTCTTTTACGGAGCAGCCCATATTATTCACATATAATTACGCATACTGCGATCTGCAGTACATCAACAGTAGATCTGAAAGGCTGACAAAACAGGTAGAGGTCACCCCTAGATTCAGTGCAAAAGAAAGCTCGCGGGGTGATCTATTGCAGGATAGTAGTCATTTTAATAAAGTTCAAGCCTTGACACACGTGGTGTGTCAAGCGGTCCCACGCGGTAGTCATTGCTTGACACACCATGTGTGTCAAGCGGTCGTCAATGTGTTAATGAAACAGCAGCTCTTTTGAAACGCTGCAAAAATTCTGACCACTGAGCGGGTCGAACGCCCAACCTTTCGATCTGGAGTCGAACGCGCTACCATTGCGCCAAGCAGTCATAGTCCTTTCTCAATCGTTACTCTTTCATAATTTCTGCTGGTGTTTTCTCATATCCTGAGTTTGTCAGTACTGTGCTGCACAATCCTCTTAATGAAACAGTAGGTCTTTTCAAACGCTGCAAAAATTCTGACCACTGAACGGATCGAACGCCCAACCTTTCGATCTGGAGTCGAACGCGCTACCATTGCGCCAAGCAGTCATAGTCCTTTCTCAATCGTTACTCTTTCATGATTTCTGCTGGTGTTTTCTCATATCCTGAGTTTGTCAGTACTGTACTGCACAATCCTCTTAATGAAACAGTAGGTCTTTTCAAACGCTGCAAAAATTCTGACCACTGAGCGGATCGAACGCCCAACCTTTCGATCTGGAGTCGAACGCGCTACCATTGCGCCAAGCAGTCATAGTCTTTCTGAATCGCTACTCGTTCAAAATTTCTGCTGGTGTTTTCTCATATCCTGAGTTTGTTAGTACTGTACTGCACAATCCTCTTAATGAAACAGTAGGTCTTTTCAAACGCTGCAAAAATTCTGACCACTGAGCGGATCGAACGCCCAACCTTTCGATCTGGAGTCGAACGCGCTACCATTGCGCCAAGCAGTCATAGTCCTTTCTGATTCGCTACTCGTTCAAAATTTCTGCTGGTGTTTTCTCATATACTGAGTTTGTCAGTACTGTACTGCACAATCCTCTTAATGAAACAGTAGGTCTTTTCAAACGCTGCAAAAATTCTGACCACTGAACGGATCGAACGCCCAACCTTTCGATCTGGAGTCGAACGCGCTACCATTACGCCAAGCAGTCATAGTCTTTCTGAATCGCTACTCGTTCAAAATTTCTGCTGGTGTTTTCTCATATCCTGAGTTTGTTAGTACTGTACTGCACAATCCTCTTAATGAAACAGTAGGTCTTTTCAAACGCTGCAAAAATTCTGACCACTGAGCGGATCGAACGCCCAACCTTTCGATCTGGAGTCGAACGCGCTACCATTGCGCTAAGCAGTCATAGTCTTTCTGAATCGCTACTCGTTCAAAATTTCTGCTGGTGTTTTCTCATATCCTGAGTTTGTTAGTACTGTACTGCACAATCCTCTTAATGAAACAGCAGGTCTTTTCAAACGCTCCAAAAATTCTGACCACTGAGCGGATCGAACGCCCAACCTTTCGCTCTGGAGTCGAACGCGCTACCATTGCGCCAAGCAGTCATAGTCTTTCTGAATCGCTACTCGTTCAAAATTTCTGCTGGTGTTTTCTCATATCCTGAATTCGTTACTGTACTAGACAATTTTTTACATGAAAAAGTGGGTCTTTATGAATCCTGGAAAAATCTTGACCACTGGGCGGATCGAACGCTCAGACTTTATTTCTTATAAGTTTTGATGTTTCGCGAACTGGTTATCGTTCAAGTGTCAAAATATGTTAGTTTTGATGAGTAAAATAGGTGTTGCGCTGTTTTATGGCACTCATTCTCTATGTAGTCCATTATTTTTGTTTTCCTTCAGTGTCGATTTCTTAGCAATTACCTTTGTCTTTCTTGAATAAATTATCTACGTCTTTCGCATTTCACATATTTCGTTACCGACTTCGGTTTGCCACTTCAGAATAGTTTCCCTTCCAGGTCTCCTGATGAACTCTAGTCATTAAAACAGCGATTCCATCCGTATGTAGTAGAATTGTGCAGCTCGTGTCGTTGTCGATAGTTTTGCATAACGGTACTGCGAGCCGCTTAGCCGTGCTCTCGTGTGCCCGACCTGTGTCTCACCGAACGAGTTCAGTCGCCGATGCATGCCGTGCCTGAAACCCGCAGAATTACGCTTTGTTCACGACCCTCTTACAAGGTAATTCGAAATTATTTAGTTAAAGCTTTTCCTTGTTTTCGCATGGCAGAATTTTTTTCACGATTTTTGATTTGAAAAAAAAAACTCGCATAGGAATTCATTTCAAGCTTTGTGGGAATTGTTGATGCATCCGATGTCAGATTTTCTGGAATTTTTGAATTAAAGTGCGTTTTTCTTACGTGAAAAAGCATGCTGTGAAGCAATTCTCGTGTTTTGTTGATGTCACGACTCTATCCGAAATTCTGCAAACATTCTAGTTCTCTAGTCACACATTATTATTCAAAAATCTAAACTATCTTCCGAAATTCATCGATATACGTTGAACACTCATCGTTAAAGTAAGCAAATGCGATAAATGCCAAATCAGTGCTTTTCAAAATATTGAGCGATTCTTTCTTTATTTCCCTGATTTCTATGAACTGGCAGCAAGAGCCACTCTCTCTTGGTCTTTGCCAAGCATTTTTCTCTTTTCATTCGAAAATTTGGTTATAAATAGTTAACAAATCATGAGTTCTATAACTAGTTCTATAATATTCCAAATAGAGAGAGCTATTGAAATAGCCTTGCTCGAAAAAAACCTTGCCTTTTTTTCTACTTGGCTCCTATACATATTGCCAAAGAAAAAAGTCAAAAATCACCATGTAGACGCGTTTCTTTACCCAGCATTCATGTAAGACGTTGTGAATAAATGAATAGAAATTAAAAAATATTTCTATGGGTAGAGCGCAATACGTCAAAACAACAATTTTTTAGTAGTAGTTTTGAGAAAAAACGTCTACACTCAATGCGCTTGCTATAAATAAAAATGTAATCTATTAAACAATGAACAATCATCCTTCCACACTAAAGTGTTTCGATACATAATGACATAAGAATTCTCTACATTGCTGTAAATTGGCGGAACTAAGATGTCAAAGTGCGTCACTTAAAAAACGTTGATTCAATGAATTTTCGCAGATTTGTCACGTTTGTCAAAAGTTCAGCATAAAAAGTAGAGAAATGTCAACCGCGAAATATTTTAAGGATCAGCAGTAGTTCTTGCTCTGCAGGGTTTTCTTTTTTGCTTTATAGAAATCTCTTTGATTACTTTTTTATTTGCAGATGGCTGTGGCAGTACTTGTTTCCATTGCAATTTACTCTCGGTGTACTAGGAAACATATTGAATTTATGCGTCTTAGCTTCAGATGAAACTTCCAACGTTGCAAGCGATTTGGTGAGTTTTTTCTCAGTCCATTGTTTTTTCACCCTTTTTTCATCAATGCTACGTTTTCTCTCTCAAAATAGTGTTATGACCAAAATCACAAAACACTCCGCAAGAGGTGTGATGGAAATACGGCTGGGATCAATGGGTACGCAGATTGTAATAGAATTTTTTTTCAATTTTTTGGTAATATAGAGCTTGCTCAACTGCAGTGATACGTATTTCATCTTTCCGCTATTTCTTTCTGAGTTTCTAATAGCCGATAAGGCTTTTTCACTTTACCTCCTTACCTCGTAATCTTTTAGAATCAAATAAAAATACCAACTTCATTTAAAAAGGTGATCAATGGTGGTAGATAACCTTTAATTTAACTGGCTTGGCGGCTGGAAGGCGGGCCTTTGTGAACCTAATTAAGGCCGCTAGCGTTCGCAACGCAGTCTGCACCTCTCCCGCGCAGGTGCTCTCTGATCACTACCTAGTCTTTACTAGGTCACGAAGCCCTGCCTTTCAACCGCCAAGCCACTTGAATCAAGGGTAGCATCTATGGCGGTGCAAGGAGAGGGAAAAGGAGGGGAGAGAGGCTTCTTTCGGTCAATGGGTCGCGAAATTTTCACTTAGATCTAGGGCATACTTCCCTCGATTCCGTCAATTCCATCACCTAAACTGCTATTTCTATCGTTTGGCTGATTTTTCTCTTTCTTTTTTGTTTCCCTTTCCTATTTCTCAACTCTTGCTAAATGACTAGTTGCACCCGTTTGTGTTCGTTAACGAATTGTTTTCCTGCTTTACAGCACTCGAGCGTACAAAATAAAGATAAAGATAAGTCGCTATATCCACCCGACTTGGCGATTTGCCAGAAGCCTACAGATTAACCGTGCGCGGGTCCCAAATGCGTAGGCATGTAGCTTTTGTAAGTTGACGCACATGAAGTTTGGCCCAAGCAAAGACCAACTATGAAGAGCTATTGCGATGCCAGATCGCGCAGCGAGTGAAATCGCGTGAGGTATACCTTAGGCCTTACATGGCTCATAAAAATGTGCAAGTATCTTGTTTTTACGTGTAAGTAACTGAGATAGTTTTTTGAATTTTTTTAGAAGTCAAATGTGCCTGGTAATGCCATCATGCCCTTTTTTTTCTGAATTTTCGGGGGACCCCACAAAAATCTTGAGAAGTTTGGAGAGCATCTTAAAATTTCCTGGAACACCTTCGTTCAAAGAGAAGTTCCCTATTGTCCCCCCTCTCCCTAAGACAGAAGTCATGGGACCGCCACTGATAGCTACATAGTTTTAGCACGAACTTTATTTCGCTAGTATGTTAACCACAGCTCATGTTAACATAGTATATCTTACTTAGTACTTTTTGAGGAGTTTTGTTTGCGTTTTGATGTTAGTTGTTCCTCACTTTCCAAACATAGTTCCAATCAGGAAATCATTTATGTTCCATGATCTCGTCTTTCTAGCTAGGCTTTTCTTGCTGCATGAATGTTCTATGAAAAGTTATGATTTTTTTTTAAAAATGCTCTGCCTCTTTCACGGAAATCAAAATGCTCTTGATCGGCTTGAATTGCACTTAGCTAAAAAGAGTAGCTCATAGAACCTATGTTTATGACTGTTTTGGCTTCCGCTGTGACATTTTTAGTTTTTTGAGCATGCTCAAAGTTGCAAAATTGAACTAATTTTTAAAACATCTCATACTAACCCATGGGAAAGTTGCATATGCGACATTTTCTCTTTTAAACAATTACTTGCAGAAAGTTGCGTGACCCTGCTTAAAAATTGCCTTCTAATTTTCGAATAATCTCACACTAGTTTATGGCGGAAGAACTTTTGTGAAGAGGATGGTTTTCTTTTTCAAATAAGAATAATTTTGAGAAAAAAAGAACGAACTTCTGAACACACCTAATAGCTATGCTTATCAGTGGCGCAAAACCTTCATGAACGTACCTTAATCTCACAGCCATGAAAAGCAACTTAATAATGCTTTTCACATTGTAAATCTTACACAACTTATATCGCTGGTACGAGCCTTATGAGAGAATAAGGATCAACAATGTTATCAATAATCAAAAACCTTTTTGGGAATATCTTGTAGGTTGCATCCGATGAGGTTGATAATTTTTATGCAGATAATTCTTGATAACTGGCGGATCTCAATAACCAGCGCATTTCCTACCCTCTTTCCCAAAATAATTCATGCGCGAAGATCCAGAGCATTTCCTTGTTTTGAGCTTTCGATTAGAAAGAAAAGTTGAACTGATTTTATCAGATTGAAAACGAATTGCGAAAATATGTTAAAATCCGGGAAAAGCGCGTGTATTTATTTACTTACTTATTCAATTATTTATTTGTTGAATGCATCCATTGATGCGCCAAAGGAACGTGGTTATCACAAAAAAGAAAACATCTAACGCAATGTCAAGGAAAAATCATATGCATCTCCGGTAGCCTTCTTGTTATCAGTTTTAGGGAACACTTTGAGTCAAACATGGCACCTTTTTGAGGTACATATATGTGCATTTGAAAAAAAAACGGATAAACTTAGGATTTTAAAACGGATAAACTCAACTTATTTCACGCTTTCTCTTGCCATAGCACCATAAATTTGCACATATCATCGGGCCCCTGTCAAAACTCATTCAGTACAGCATTTAATTTGACTTTACTCTTTTACACTGCGTCTGAAGTTCACACTTTGTGAGAAAAAATAGTGGCTTGCCATACGGCAGTAGTGGTTGGCAATTGCTATCGAACCTCTTGCGCCGCACCCTTCTTAGTGTGGCACCAGTTTTGCAACATAAAAAATGGATATCTTTGCTTGTGTTGATTATATTCTATTTTTAGCAAGATACAATCAATTTCAGCTTGCCGCTGTATCGTTTTGCGATTTGGCGTTTCTTCTAGTCATGCTACCGCATGCTTTATCGTCGTATGATACCTTAGCTTTCAACGACAATTTCCGCTTTTTCTATTTGAAAAGTAAACAGCACATTGCGGCCGTTGCAAATTGGATGAGCGCGGCAGCCATCTGGTGAGTTCAGCATGCTCGTATTATAAGGCGATAACAGTGAAAAACTCCACTTTAGGCTCATCTTAGCTGTGTCCGTTGAGCGTTTCTTAATAGTTCGATCGCCATTACGTTCGAAGCTATATTGGCAGAGAGGAAAAATGGTGCTCGTATTGAGTTCGATCTTCTTTGCCACAGGTTAGGCTCAGAGAATTTGCAATCAAATTACAATCATACTGACATTAGCCTCTTTCGCATACACTTTACTCCACAAATATTTCAGCACAACAATTTCTGTAGAACATTAAATTGGGTTGTTTTATGAGTTCAACCTGTTTTTTGAATTTCAACTCGGGTACAGGACTATATGTCGCCGAAAGTAGGACGATTCCGGGCGGACAATTTAGCAGCTACTCAGTTTGTGCATGCATTGGGGTGTATGCCCTTCTGAACCGCTTCGTGCTAGCGCTTATTATTCCGCCTTTCCTATAATCTATCAGAGTTTCCAAATATTTCTGAGCATTCCAAAGCAAGCGGGGCACGCAAATAATGATAGTGACGATTTTTAAATTATGAAGAAAAAAGTTGGAAAAGTTGCAAGTTTTTTTACTGGCCTTTCGTGATTGCTTCGCCCTTCCCACTTTTCAAAACGCCATAAAGTCTGCAAGTGTAACTGAAGAATTTACCTAAGCCCCCCCCCCCCCAAGTATAATATTTTTGAGTTTCGTGGGAAACTCGAAATCTTGTTTAATTCTTTTTATCATGAGAATGCCTTTGCAGTCCAATTCGGACGTCTCTAACGACAGCGTAGCTCTTGCCTACCCAAGCGCCGCGGCAGCGCCGACCAATCAGAGACGCGCAGTAATTAGGCTGCCAATGCTAGCGGTTCAGAAGGACCGTCTCCCCATGCATTGTAATGTGAATTTGTTGCAGATGTCCAGCGGGACATCCCACTTTTGGCAACGGTATAATCCCCTACCCTTCCAAATCAAAATTAGCATTAACAATTATCGTGATCTTTGCTAACCTAATGAACGAATGTTACAACTTCGCATGCTGTACACAGCAAGAAAAATTTCTAAATTGATCGCCAGAAAAACTTTTCTGAGAACCTTTACTCTGAAAAGTATAACTTAATCTGGAATTAAGCCGAGGGATGACGGGTGACTAATAAAAATCAAAGTCGAATTTTACAAAAGTTTAACCGAGTTTTTTGCCAAAAAAATTTGTAGCTCACACAGTTTGCTAACTGTGCCAAAAAATTGACTTCTCTTAAAATTTTCGCTTGTTCGCCGCTGGCTAATTACTACACCTATCCCCTTCTATTAGGTATCTTAGGCTTACTCTCATTGTACAGAACGAAGATTCTGTATAATTTTGCGTTGAAGATTTTTAGGCGACAAATAAGAGCCGTGGCGATGACTTATGTTGAAAATTTCTTAAACGTGGAGAGACAAATCTCTGGTTAACACTATACAAATTTTCAAGATGACCGCCTCTTGCATGAATATGTCATGATATCCTCTTATTCAACTGGCTTTGCTGCTGGAAGGCGGAGCTTCGTGACCTAATTAAGGCTAGGTAATGATCAAAGCATGCGCGCGGGAGAAGAGACACAGACTGCCTCGCGGGCGCGAGTGGCTTAATTAGGTCACAAAGCCCCGCCTTTCAGCAGCCAAGCCAGTTGAATCAAAAGTTACAGCCCTTAACTCGCGTAAAAAGACGGACTGCGGCGCACCAATTTTGGAAAAATCATCGGATCCCGTAACTAGGTTTTGATTTTCATGAGATTGTATGGTGATTTTTGGAAAGCTGGTGATACGAGAATTCGGAAATGCTACGTTAGTCAAATTTATCTCCATTAAAAGAGTTTTCGTTGAGTTGCCGCGACGTAAAAATCGCGACGAAACCGTCGCACCCCATAACTTGTGTTTGAATAGAGTTTTCTTATTTTTAATCTCATCAGTATCAGTCAGTGACCGTTATCGCTTGGAAAATACAACTATGATTGTGGAAAAATCAATTTTCGTCGAATTTTGAGCATGTGGCGGTTTCGCCGCGATTTCTCTTTCGTCACGATTCAATGAAACCCTTTCAATAAAAGCAAATTTGGAAAGTCCAGTTCTCGAGCCCTTTCATACTGGCTTCCCGAAAATCACCGTCCAATCAAGAAAATCATCTTGACCTAATTGTGGGATCCCGGGGTTTTGTCAATATTGAAAGTTAGCTTTAGCAGTTAGCTTTTTTTATTGACGCGAGTTAGGCCCCGGGATAGTTCACGCGATTTCAGTCGCAACGCGATCTGGCCATTTGCCAGATTTCCGCGTAGCCTGTATAACTCTCGCAGACTAATAAAATGCCCTATTTTCTCATATTTGGAATGCGTCACGATGAGTAACACCTGAAATATTGCCAAATCGGGTCGCGACTTAAATCGCGCGAAGTATGCCCGAGGGCTTACGATCTGCATTATAGAGCAGAAAGGGACTTCATAATTTTGCTATTCTTCAATGAACTACGAAATCAGTCGAAATCAAAACAGTTTAGAAAAAGATAGCACAGGAAGGACTAGGTAGTTGGGAAAAAAGTTTTCACGTAAAAATGAGATTTTTAAAGCACAGTTCTCTATAAGCAATTCATTAAAAAGATTTGATGGGCAGAATTTCCAAAACAACAACCCAGTAATCATCCATTGAGTAGTCAGTAATCGTCAAGCTCATTTAGGTTTGCTTACTCTTTATCATCACTTCGAGTACGATTGCACACTGATGGAATTTTGCAATGGAAGCCAACTAATTGATTTTTGCTATTATGCGGGCGAAAAACATCCAAGAACATTCCTCAAAAAAGAACTGGTAGGCAAAACAGAAACAACCTCCAAGAAAGCTACGGCAAATTGTTTACTTTCTAGATCCTTCCAAGCGAGGTAAAGAAAGTTTATATGCGGGTAATGACTATATTCAATGCTGTTTTGGTAAGTTTAGGATAGCAGGATCCATTTGAAAATTCCCGATAAATTGTTTATGTCTCCTATTTATTTCCAGGTTGTCTTTGCACCAATTGTATTTGTTATTCTTTTAAACATGTTAATGATAAGGGAACTACATTACAGTGATAAGACTTTGCTGGAAACTTTTCGCGGTTCAATCACCAGAACGCAACATGTAAGCTTATTTTCTGCTTATGTGAATGTGTGCGATACACCAAACGATAACCTTTGATTCAACTGGCTTGGCGGCTGGAAGGTGGGGCTTTGTGACCTGATTAAGGCCGCTCGCGCTCACGACGCAGTCTGCGTCTTTGTCGCGCGCGTGCTCTCCGATCATTATCTGGCCTTATTTAGGCCACGAAGCCCCGCCTTCCAGCCGCCAAGCCAGTTGAATTAAAGGTTATACTATCGTTAATGCCTTTTTTATTCATTCTGTCCAGTCATTAATCGCTTCATACTCATGAATTTTGATTATTTTTTATTATGAATCAACTCTGCGCTCTATTTTTCTTTTTACTGATAGATTTATTAATATCTTTGTTTATTTCTTCAATTACCCATTGCAACGATTTAGCGACAACGTCGTCGTGTAACAATCACAGTTATTGCGATTGGTTTATGTTTCTCATTAACCCAAGGACCATCCGCGGTTATGGTAATCTGGGAGCTGTTTGCTGGTTATGCACATCTAGGAGCGACATTTTATGCGATTTTCAGGTAATAAACATCGAAATGACAAAAGCCACTTTTTTTGATCGATTAACCTTTGATTAAACTGGCTTGGCTGCTGGAAGGAGGGGCTTTGTGTGACTAGGGCCGCTCGCGCTCGCGATGCAGTCTGCGTCTCTCCCGCGCGCGTGCTCTCTGATCATTACCTAGCCTCGATCAGGTCATAAAGCATCGCCTTCCAGCAACCAAGCCAGTTGAATCAAAGGTTACTTCACTTATTTTTAGCATTACGAATAGCCTCGTCGTAACAGGGAAAACCATCAATTTCATATTGTTCTGCCTTTCATCGGAGCATTTTCGCCGAAAGTGCTTCATACTTTTGTTTCGAAAATTTCCGAGGGTTAGTTTGCTGGACATTCCCATATATTCACATCTACTGAATTGTGTGTTTGCAGTTATCGCAGAGCAGTATTGGCCAACGGTTAAGCGCCTATACGAGGAGTAATTCGACCGATGTACGAGGCTCTTTGCGAACTTTGCGATCCTATCGACGCAGCTCTGTGCCTGCACTCCGCGAACAAAGGGAAAGCACACATATACCGGAAATTCAGACACTCGTCACCAAAACTGATTGAGCGTTTTGTATATAGTGTTTTTGTTGATGTTTTATCTTTGAGCTTTCGATAAATTATCCCTAGGTGTTTTTGTACAGGTAGTACAATGTTTCATTGTATATATAAAATTGTGTCCTACAATCCAATGAGTTTCATTCGACATACTCGAATGCCTACCTATTGGCCTCACGATAAATTCGTGAGCCATTAGCAAGCTTTGAATTCATACTGTAATGACCTTCTACAGGACTGAAACATCTTGTTCATGACCTTTGTAAGAAAGTATTATAAGTGCCATGTCCAGGGATGGTTTAGAAACTATTTTTACAAGTAAGGGGCTGAACAACGAGTCAGAGATTAGCACCTGTACTTCTGTGTTCTTCATGAGCAAAACAGAGAAGCCGCGCTGTTTATCATTTATTTATTTATTTATTTATTGCAAAAAAAAGTACGCCATCGACTAGTCAAAAAGTCTGGGCAACAGTCAACAGAAATTGAAAAAAGAACTCAGATAAAACCATCATATAAAAAATATTCTTACTTTTGATACTACCAAACTAACATGAAATGAAATAGAATTATAGCATCCAAATCTGATTACTTCATAACCTGTTCAAAACATTCTCTTGGAAGTGAGCAGAACGTGAGGCTGGACTAAGAGCACCAGAGGTGGTTGCTTTCACATTTCTCTCTACTTTAGTGATCAGATTTGTCGAAAAGTGAGACCAAATCCAATGGGTAACCTTGCGTACCTCGGTTAATTCACTGAGCTCACCCTAGCCACCCTATGAGATATTGCTTTCGGAATCGCTGCATTACTTCCTATTGCCCTGACCCAAACTCGATGTAAGGGGTGGCAGGAAAACGAATGGGCCAAATTTTGCGTGCCTAGGCTAATTCAGTAAGCTCACTCTAAGTACTTGTCAACAACAGTCAAAAGCAGAATGACCTGAGATTATCAAAGTGATCAACATTAGTCTAATTTCTGTCAGAATTAATGATAGTAAAAACGTTTGGTAGAATCTGACGTGTAGACTAGAAGTAAGTAAGATTTTCTAGTGTATCTTGTGCCATTCCTTCGTAAAAACTGACATAATAGTAGCCAAAGCAGAGAAGCAGCAGAGCTGCAGAAGAGCAGCAGAACTCTGTAACGGAATACAAGAAAGACTGAATGAGAGAGTTGATTAATTAGCGGCTGTGGCCCCGTCCACTTTTGTTTGATGGGGCCACAGCCTCAACTGAGCGCACAAGATGCTGATCTCGGAATTGAGCAAAATTGCGATTGCTGACTTTCTATTCTCCCAACTCAGGCTGTTTAGCTACTCTCTTGGCTCAAATTCTGTTGCCCTTCGCCGGCTCATGCCCCATCCCCCCTCCACTCTCTGCCCTCCTCTTCCTCAAGTTGAACCCATACTGACTTTACCCGCATAGCGATATCCCGCCTGCCTGCAGAAACCTGTGTGGAGCCATGTATCCCACGCATATATTTTTATTGGATTTCATTAGTTTGCTTTTAGATCGACTAGCTAACAAACAGAATCATACTCATTCCAAGTTCAATGGAAGCTAGTAATAAGCAAACTAATAATAACCTGCTTCAGAGCTAAATTTCAAACTCACTAAGTAAATGTGTTGGGATTTCTTCCCATGTATGCCTGCTAAAGGATTCTCAAGTTTCTTTTCTGATATTGAATCACTGCACTGGAACATTGGACACAACTAGACGAAGGAAAAAAATGTGCTATACTTTAATATCTTTTCGTAACAATGTAATGATGCGCGTTACACTCATGACAAGAGATAGGAAACTCTGTGTATGCGTTGGGCACGTAACCATTTTTCTATACTGACTTCCGAAATAGTCCGAGCGCTTTCGTAATGCCGTTTTTACTTCCTCGGCTTTTGGCTTCTCGGCTTTTAGCTTGACTGAAGGTGTTGAAAAGAAAGTATACAGAATGCAAATATCTCCTCTGAATAAGTTTTTGTGCTTGCCTCAATCGATTTGCTTCGTGGCTGTCAATAACAATAAGAAGCCTTGGAGGAACCTTTATGAAATATGCAATGACCATAACTATAAATACCGAGCTAACTAAGGACATAATCTGAAAGCATTATTTAGTACTAATCTCTGAGTTCCCAGTGGAATTAAACTCTTACAGTGACTCCTAGTAAAGCAGTTTTTTCGTGCGGTATATATGTTTGGTGAGTGAAAAGCAAGACTATACCAACAACGTTGAAAAGGCATGAAAAAATCAGCACAACGACTATCTGAAGTAAAAGCTCATTCCAGAACCCCTTTCTTACTCACTAACAATGGCTGGTGGAAGAGTTGTACTACACTTCTCGCAATTGTTCATAAATATGCAGGCCAACAAGCAAGAAACAACCATGAAATGAAGTATGGCCGAAGCGAAAATCTGAAAATCAACTCCAATTCAGACAGTCGGCGGCCTCGGACAGATGCGCGATTTAATCGTCGCGATATCGCCGCGATTTCCATCCATTTTCATTTTCCATTCAAAAATTTGCTGGAAAAGTATCGCAGCCGAAATGCAAGCTGGTCGGCATGCAATGAACTCGTAACAGTTGTCTTGTCGCGAGTGCGTCGCGACGATCAAATCGCGTGAATCTGCCTGAGGCCGAAGGGATATCTCCGGAGCGGAAATGGGAGGGTCCCGGGTTCTGCCCAGCGGGGTCTGCTGCCACTCGTGCTCCGAAGCCCTCTTATTTCACGCGTTTTGGTGCTCCGAGGCTCCTCCAAATCTGGCGCACTCCCGGAGCAGTAAATGCGAGCTCCGGGAAGGGGTCCCACTGGCTTTCTTGTGACGTCACCGTGGTGCATCCCCGAAGCAGAGATTTGGAAGAGCCCCTCCCATTTCACGCGTTTTCACCAAAACGCGTGAAATGGGAGGGCTCCGGAGCACGAAGTGGCAGACCCCCACCATTTGCCCTCCATAGGTATCCCGACTATCTGAGAATAACCTCGAGTCATAAGAAGCTTGACCGAATTTACCTTGACTCCCCCTATGGCGTCATTCGGGCTCGGTTTTGCCGATACATTTGAGTCCATATTCCTTACGTTACCATCATTACTAGCAGTAAAGTTTACATTCACAGAACTGCGCAACATGCTTTGATCACATAGAATCAAAAAGTATCCAAGGCAAGCGTAATTAGCCTGGAGACAAGGATCCCGATGGCGGATCTTGGCAGCATCGTACTTACCAATAGGATAAATAGTAGGTGGGAATGAACTGCTAAGCAGGCCATGCCGCTATTTGTGGTCGTAGGGGAAGTAAATGGCAATGGTCACACCTCCTCATACAGTTTCTACTATCAACATAGGTCTATATCGCTTCATTTTCAAACCGAGCACGTTTCATACCGCAATGCATGTCATCCTAATCGGTTGGCTGTTTATGGGTAAAATACCGAGCCACATCGGCAAGAAAATGCATTTTAGCAGAAGTATCTTCATACTCCAGTTTTAAATTACCTTTGTTTCGCTGCAACATGGTTTGCACATGCTGATTGTGCTTTCAATGTGTGGTGCGTGTGTTAGTATTTTTCAGCCGTTAGTATACCTTTGATCGAGCGCGCTTCAAAACTCAGACAGTAGAATGGATACCTCCGGAGGGCAAATGGCGGGGGTCTGCCACTTCGTGATCTGGAGCCCTCCCATTTCACGCGTTTTGGTGCTCCGGGGCTCCTCCAAATCTGGCGCACCCCCGGAGCAGAGAGTTGCGAGCCCCGTGGAGGGGTCACGGTGACGTTACAAGAAGGCATATGGGACCCCTCTCCGGGGCTCGCAAATCTCTGCTCCGGGAGTGAGCCAGATTTGGAGGAGCCCCAGAGCACCAAAATGCGTGAAATGGAAGGGCTCCGGAGCACGAGTGGCAAACCCCCGCTGGGCAGAGCCCGGAACCTTCCCATTTTCGCTCCGGAGGTATCCCTTCGACTGTCTGAGAAGGTAGACCAATAGACTCACTTCCTCAATGCTTACTGTTGGAGAGTGATGTATATATACATGTAGTGATTGTTTTGTATCGTTTATCCTTGTTTTTGTTCTGTTTCGATCCCTAATATCTCGTTGTGCTAGATTCAAACTCTTTCCCATGAGTTCCCGCCTGTTCTCATGAAGCTCTCCTCGGTGCCTGGTACCGAATGGTACGCTCTCACAGCCGTGTGTGTGTATATATAGATAGCATAGCCAATTGATGATTCATTCGCATTCATTCACTATTTTCGGTCTGCTAATAAACTATTAGGGTGAACGGTAAAAAATGGGACAGCTTGATTTTCATTTCATTTTGGAATTTTTTGTTTCTGGCAACAGCAATTAAGCAGCAACTTAAACGTCGCTTACATGGGCGACCTTCGCTTATTATTCCGACAACGCGTTAACGCTCCTCTTCCACTACCCTACACGTGGCGCCGTGAAGAACTCGAACAGGGTTTTTTGGACAATCCTCAACCTTGCGCTGTTGTACCGTAAAGTCGTAAAGCAAATGACATACCATTCGAAAGAGCTCTTCATGCTCTTTCGAACTATACGTTAAATGCATAAGATTTCTTCTCAATTTCAGAAAAAAATCGAAAAAACCTGAAAAATAGATATTTTTGGCGCAACAAAAAACCAAAAAATCATGTTTTGCCCTATATTTTCCGAAGATAGATAAAATCTGAAGTAAGCTGCATATGGATGGATAGAGCGTAAAAAGCTCTATCAGATGATACCCAGAAATCATGCGTTTACCTGCAAAGAATTGAATAACGCGTATCTTTGTTCTCGAAGCTGTTAATGGGCATATCTCCTGACATTGAGGGTTAAAGCCACCAAGCCGTCGTGGGTTTGGTGACAGTCCCACCACTCACTCCAGCAGTGGTACTTTGGGTGGTCTCACATGTTTCACTGCGCCGATACTGCTCAAACTTCATAATTTCTCGAAGTAACCAACTTTGCATTTTAGCAAGTATAAAAATTATCAAATATTTAAATGACCTTATATAGGTACTATCTGAAAGAGAATAATTTATTCTAATATCCATCAAAATTGGAAAGTTCAGTCACTTTTCTTCCTTGAGAAATTTGCAATTATTCTCAAGTTGTCCCATTTTTTACCGTTCACCCTAATACTAAGTATTCCACTGTGTCCGGTTCAACCGAAGTCAAGGACTACAACAACTGGCGATCAGACGATAGGACTCGTGTGGATAGGACGAAGATTGCCGAATCGAACTAATCGGACAAGGACTTCTTCGTGGAAGGATGGCGGCCACTTCGAGCATTTCACTGGAGGAAATGTTCGCTCAGCTGATGCAGCAGAACGCTGTACTAATGAGAGCGAACCAGGAGCTTTTAAAACGCCTGGAACATCCCGCTGCCCCTGCGACGTTGGCCGACTACTCAGCACTCTCGGCAAGACTGACGTTCTTCAGCTACGATCCTGAAAACGGATGCACCTTCGAAAACTGGCTATCCAGATTCGAGGAGATAGTACCATCAACATCAATGCCCGAAAAGGGCCGATGCGCTCTGCTGTCTACGAAACTAGACAACGCCGCTCATGCCAAGCTGAGAGGGCACCTTGCACCAAGATCTCCACTAGAGCTCTCGTTCGAAGAATTAACGAAAGTGCTGACATCGCTGTTCGGCGAAAGGACAACGCTGTTTCGACGCCGATGGAAGTGCCTCCACGTCGTGAAAGATCCCTCAGAGGACATCGAATCGTACGCTGCACGGCTCAATAAAATGCTAGTCGATGCCAAAGCGGACGAAATGAAAGGAGAACCACTGGAATGTCTTCTTTTCGTCATGGGATTGCAATCACCATGCGATTCGCCAATACGTGCCCGACTACTGAGCAAGCTGGACTCCGAGGCCGATACATACAAGCTGCAGGACTTTATCGCCGACTATAACGCATATCAGTCTGTGCAAAAGGATGCTGCCCTCATTGGATCCGTATCGCCTGCGTCTGTCCAAGCTGAAATCGTTGCTCCTGTCCGGAAGAAGAAGCAACGCCGAGCACAGCCGCAACGTGCCGGACGCCCATCCGATGGCAAGGACACGCCTGGACGTTCTCGCCGTGATGACGTGTGCTACATCTGTGGAAATAAAGGACATTGGGCCAACAACTGCCCGTCAAGGAACCGACCGGTCTGCCGTTCTCTGAAGAAAGTTGTAAAGCTGAACGTGCTGAACTCCCACCGTCGCTACGTAAACGTCAAGCTGAAGGACTTGGACGTGAGAATGCAACTCGACACCGGTGCCGACGTATCGACAATCAGCCGTAGGACGTGGATGGAACTAGGATCGCCAGCTGCGAAGACCCCGCCTGCGAAAGTGAGAATTGCAAATGGATCGCTGATCGAAGTGTTTGGAGTTCACGAGATGCCGTTCACATGCAACGGATTCGATGGCAAGGGATTATTTTATGTCACCAAAGACCTGTGTTTGCTGGGAATGGACATGCTTCAACAGCTGCCGCCCTTCCAAAACGCTTTCTCCGCCGTTTTCTGTGTCGTGGCGTTTTCTGTGTCGTGGACGCCTCTTCGCCACTGGACGAACGCCTCGCAGCTGAGTTTCCAGAAGTCTTCAAGGATGAGCTGGGACATGAACAGATTCAAAGCTCACCTTGTGCTGAAGAAGGATGCCACGCCCGTTTACGTGCCGAAACGAAAAGTGCCGTTTGCCGTAGAGCCTCTTGTCAACGCAGAGCTAGACCGCCTCGTCACCATTGGAGTACTATGACCAGTCAGCTACTCACAGTGGGCCGCTCCCATCGTTCCAGCCAAGAAGAGGAATGGAGCAGTGCGCATATGTGCCGACTATTCCACCGGGATGAACGGCCGTTGGAGCTGAACAGACACCCGCTGCCCACTGCTGAGGAAGTCTTCAGCAAGCTGAATGGAGGAACGGTTTTCACGAATATCGATCTGCGTGACGCTTACCTGCAAGTGGAAATGGACGAAGAAAGCAAGAAGTTGTTGACCATCAACACGTTGAGAGGACTTTTCCGCTACAACCGCCTACCGTTTGGTGTGAAGAGTGCTCCAGGAATCTTCCAATCGCTGATGAGCAATGTCACCGCCGACATCAACGGAGCAATTGCTTACTTGGACGATGTTGTGGTCACCGGAAGGACTCGTGAGGAACACGACGCAAACGTCTTTAAGCTATTCCAACGCCTTCAAGACTACGGAATGCGTGTTCGCCGTGAGAAGTGCCACTTTGCTAAACCCAGCATTACATTTCTCGGATTCATCGCCGATGCGGAAGGAAGACGCCCTGATCCTGAGAGAGTTGCTGCTATCGCCCATATGCCGCCGCCCCAAGATGTGAAGCAGCTCGAATCGTACCTTGGGATGGTTTCGTTCTACTCGTCTTTCGTGCCAAGGATGCGTTCCCTTCGCGGACCATTGGATGCCTTGAAGAGGAAAGACACACCGTTTGTCTGGAGTAAGGAGTGCCAGGAAGCCTTCGACCGCCTTCGCGAAGTCCTGACCTCGGATCTTCTGCTATGCCACTACGACCCGAAGAAGCCGATTATTGCCGCTGACGCAAGCAACTATGGAATCGGAGCCGTGATTTCTCACCGCTACCCGGATGGATCGGAGAAGGCCGTATGCCATGCAAGTCGTGCCCTAACTGCCACAGAGAAGAACTACTCGCAGATTGAGAAGGAGGGATTGGCCCTAGTCTTCGCCGTCAAGAAGTTTCATCGTTACATCTACGGACGAAGATTCATTTTGCTAACAGACCACCGCCCTCTACTCACCATCTTCGGGAGCAAGAAAGGAGTGCATGCTTACACTGCTAATGTCTACAACGATGGTCGATGACGCTACTCGCCTACGATTTCGACATTAAGTACTGCTCTACAACATCGTTTGGACAGGCCGATGCTCTCTCCCGACTGCTTTCCTGCCGGAGTGCGCCGGACGAAGACGTCATCATCGCTACAGTAGAAGCTGATATCACCGCCACTTACGAGGAAACACTTAACCAGCTGCCAGTTACCGTGGAAGACGTACGCGCTGCCATGAAAAAGGACGCCGTGTTGTTGGAGTTGCTGAACTGCCTCCAGACAGGACATTGCCCAAAAGCGCTTCCCGGAACGCCGTTGTTCAACTATAGGAGCCAGCAAAAGGAACTCTCCACCTACAGCGGATGTATCTTCTTTGAATCCAGGATCGTCGTACCAACTCCACTGAGAAAGAAGATTTTGCGAATGCTACACGATGAACACCCTGGACAAACCCGATGAAGCTGCTTACCCGC